CCATGTGCTTGTGCTTTAATAAACCTTGTTAAACTTTTCATCAGACTCCGTTGTGTTCTGCATATTGGGCTTTTCTGAACCAATCATGACAGAACACTGCGGCCAAACACAAAGCCCAGCAGGCCACCTCCGTCGGAGATTGGTGGAGCAAGACGCTCAAATCCAAGGACACGCTCAGGCCCTCCGTGAGTTAAATACCCAGATTGAATTACAGAACCAGATGCTTCAAACGTATGCAGGCTACATGAGCAGTGCTAACGCCACGATGGCAGCACAACCTTTTCCGGGTCCAGTTCTGCCTCCGAGGTCACCGGCTGTGACGTCATCACCTGAGTTCCGTCCTAGTCTTCCTGAAAAGTTTCAGGTGATATGAAAGACTGTAAAGGATTTTTGTTTCAGTGCCGTCTCATTTTTCAGAACTCTCCTGGCAATTTCCCAACTGATCAGAAGAAAATAACATTTATTTTGTCCCAACTAACCGGACGAGCCCTAGAGTGGGCGGAGGCAAGGTTCGCCTCCGAAGACAGCCTCAGATGTGATTTTTCTGATTTTGTTTCTGAGTTTTCCCAGGTGTTTAATCAAGAGTCTGACCAAACAATTGACTCTTGTGCTCTTTTGAACCTAAGACAGGGAAATTCCTCTATAGCGGATTTCTCCATCAATTTACGGGTCAAAGCCGCAGCTTCCGGATGGAATCAATGTGCTCTCAAAAGTGCATATTTCAAGGCTTTAAATGACAATATTAAAGATGAACTTGCAACCCTCGACGAACCAGCAACTCTAGAAGATTTAATCCGCCTGACTATTAGGTTGGATAACAGAATCCGAGCTAGAAACGTTTCAAGACAAAGGAATCAAAGTTTTTCTGTGTCAGCCTCTGCATCTAATAATGCAACTGTTTTTTCTGGTCCCACAGTACCAAGCCGAGGTCTAACATCCAGTCACTTTCTTTGCCAGTTCAGGTCTCTCACGCAGTGGAGACGGAAGCCGAACCCATGCAGGTTGGACATACGAGGCTAAGTCCCGAGGAAAGGCTAAGACCTTTCAGAGGCAAGTTATGCATCTACTGTGGTGAGACTGGCCATTTCATCACTTCATGCCCAGCTTAATCAAAAGCCGGGGCCCGTCAGAGGATCTGAGGAGTCTGACGGGCCATTTAAATTCTGAGAAATCTCCTCATCTGATGCTCCCAGCCACCTTGTTTTTCTCAGATCAGAATCTAACGTTATCTGCCTTCATCGACTCGGGCTGTGAACGTAATTTGATAGACTCCAACCTTTTTCATCAGCTTCAAATCGAAACCATTCCTCTAACCCAGCCTCTTAGTGTCTCCGCAATCGATGGGAAGAGACTCCACCAGGTTACCCACCAAACACAACCCCTCGAACTGTTAATCTCAGGTAACCATCGTGAAACTTTGACATTTTTTGTTCTTCCCTCTGCATGTTCTCCCTTGGTGCTTGGTTTGAGTGGCTGGAACGACATAATCCCCATATAAACTGGGCTGATCGCCATATCGAGTCATGGTCAACCTCCTGTCACGAAACATGCCTTCGTTCTGCAGCTCCCGCTATAAGGTCTCCTAGAGGCGGGGGGGAGATGGACTCTCCTGACCTTACTTCTGTCCCTTCTGAGTACCATGATCTGGCTCCTGTCTTCAGTAAGGTCAGTGCTACGTCTCTTCCACCTCACAGACCATATGACTGCGCGATTGAACTATTACCTGGAGCTCCCCTACCCAGCAGTAGACTTTACAATATTTCCAAGCCAGAACGTGAAACTATGGAAAAATATATTAATGAGTCCTTAGCTGCTGGAATAATCTGTCCCTCTTCTTCTCCATTGGGAGCTAGTTTCTTTTTTGTGGGCAAAAAGGATGGTTCTCTAAGACCTTGTATCGACTACAGAGGCCTTAACCAAATAACAGTTAAAAAAAAGTACCCACTTCCGTTACTAGCATCTGCCTTCGAACCAGTACAAGGGGCTACTGTCTTCACTAAGCTCGATTTAAGGAACGCTTATCACCTTCTCAGGATTAGAGATGGTGACGAATGGAACACAGCCTTCAAGACTCCTTTGGGCCAGTTCAAATATCTAGTCATGCCTTTTGGTCTCATTAACGCCCCTGCATGTTTCCAAGCCCTGGTCAACGATGTCCTCAGAGACTTTTTAAATGTCTTCGTGTTTGTATACATTGATGACATCCTGATCTATTCTAAAAATCTTTCTGAGCATAAAAAACATGTCCGCCTGGTCCTGCAAAGATTATTGGAGAACAAACTTTTTGTTAAAGCCGAAAAGTGCGAGTTTCATCAACCTTTTTAGGGTTTGTGCTCGAGGGCGGGCAGGTTAAGCCATCTGAAGAAAAGATAAAAGCAGTTTTGGATTGGCCGGTACCTGAAAACCATAAACAGCTGCAGAGATTCCTGGGTTTCGCCAATTTCTACCGTCGATTTATCAGGAACTACAGTCAGACAGCTCTTCTTCTAACAACTCTAACTTCAGTCAAAAAGACCTTCCAGTGGACCACCGAAGCACAAAACGCGTTTGATAAACTAAAGACTTTGTTTTCCAGAGCTCCTGTGTTAATTCAGCCCGATCCAACCAAGCAATTCATCCTCGAAGTGGACGCCTCCGACTCTGGTGTAGGAGCTGTGTTATCCCAAAGACTCGATTCTGATCAAAGAGTTCACCCTTGTGCATTTTTCTCTCGTAGACTTTCACCAGCAGAACAAAACTACGACGTTGGGGACCGTGAACTTCTGGCCATCAAACTGGCATTGGAGGAATGGAGACACTGGTTTTAGTATGGACTGATCACAAGAACCTAGCCTACATCCAGTCTGCCAAACAAGCAAACCCTCGTCAGTCAAGGTGGTCTCTTTTCTTCTCTCCATTCAACCTCATTATCTCTTACAAACCCGGATCCAAGAACATCAAACCCGATTCTATATCTCTCGTCTTTATTCCGTTGATCAATCCGAGACGCCTGAACCCGATCTCCCTGCTTCCTGCACCGTTGGAGTGGTTACCTGGGAAATCACTGATCTCATAAACTCTGCTCTGGCTTCTGAACCTGACCCAGGTAACGGTCCTCCAAACAGAACCTATGTCCCTTCTTCTGTCAGATCTCGCCTGATTCAATGGATGCATACAGCAAAGTTTTCCGCTCATCCGGAGGTGAGCAGAACCATCGCTCTAATTTCTAGACGTTTCTGGTGGCCTACCCTGCACAAAGATGTTAAAGAGTATGTTTTGGCTTGCTCTACCTGCGCCAGAAACAAAACCTCACATCAACCACCCTCAGGTCTGTTGCATCCTCTTCCTGTACCAACTCGTCCCTGGTCTCACATCGCCATCAACTTCGCCACTGGCCTCCCAATCTCCCGAGGTATGTCTACAATTTTTACCATCGTCGACCGATTTTCTAAGTCTTGCCACTTGATCCCCCTCAGGGAACTTCCCACGGCCTTCCAAACCGCCCAGCTCCTTGTGAAACACGTTTTTCGACTCCATGGAATCCCCCAGGAAATCCTTTCTGACCGTGGACCTCAGTTTATCTCCCAAGTCTGGAAGGCCTTCGGCACTGCTCTCAACTGCAAGTCATCACTCACTTCTGGTTATCATCCACAGTCCAACGATCAAACTGAAAGAATGAACCAGCAGCTCGAGTCTACTCTCCGTTGCCTGACCTCCAACAACCCCACTGACTGGAGCCAATACCTCACATGGATTGAATATGCCCACAACTCTCTCAAGTCTGCTTCCACCGGCCAGTCACCTTTCCAGGTTAGTCTCAGATATCAACCTCCTCTTTTTCCAGCAGACGTGAGAGAGATTTCGGTTCAGTCTGTCAACCATCACATCCGTCGTTGTCAGCGAGTCTGGAGAGACACCATCGCTACAA